GTCTGTCGGTGTGAACAGTAATCCTGATGTTAGTAAGCCTTTTTTGTACCAAATGTTGGTGAACTTTGAAATGGCATATCGCAACATCACGCGTTCCACTCACGAATCGTTATCAAGTCAACACAAGTCCTTCTGGTCAGATTTATTCCTTAGAATATTATAATGTTTGAAACCATGAATCTGTGTTGTCAACCATAGCCCATGAACTTTTGATGACAGAATTTGAAATGTTCGAAAGGTTGTGTGTGTCACCCATCAAACACCAAACACAAGACCGAATGATTTGCCGGGATGATTGATAACCACATGTAGAAACCACAGTTGAGTGGAAAGAAATAACCATTTGGTAAACTGTCCATGTCGTAGTGGTGTGGTTTTCGTTAATATTTACCCATGTATAGTTTCTAAACCTAAACTCAATTTAAAGTGCTTTTCTCTGTCACATGCACCAAGCTGAGTTGAAACTAACTCGTCTTGAACACGAATCATTCAGTTTTAAGTCATCAAGTTTCCTTTTCCCGGGGAAGGCATGTTTCCATTTCGTATTAAAATTGACTCTTTTGCACAACCCCCCTCCTACATGCGTCGTCTAGTTTTGAAGTCACTCATGATGTAGTATCAACTGTCGACTCACCAGTCTAATCTTATTCTGTATTTGAAATTGGGTACGTAGCTGCTGAATATCTACCCTCGGATGCATGAAGTATATACCTGACTTGAACTGACTGGACTCGAAAACCATGATAACCCCGTAAAGTCGGTGTATCCTGTTTTTCAGTCATCCTACTAACTTCAGTGAAAATTCAGATCTGCCTCAGAATTGTCCTCCTATTAGCACAACAACAAAGAATACATAGGTTGCTCTCACATTCGCCCACTCGTTTTACACAATGCACTGGTCCGACGGCTAACGCTCTGGACTGTCGTGCCACTCGGTTCCTCATTCTGTCGAACGTGTTGGTAACGTGAGTGTCATTTTTGTGTTCCTTACGCATCTGGATACTACACATAGAGTGGCACACCTGCCCGAAGGATCAATTTGCAATCGAACGTTATCAATAATCAATACAACAAACGTCCAAGAGTGTACCCATCTCGTTCGTATTCACTTGCCCCTAATACTATTCGTACTTTTAACCTAGCATTTATATTTCTGGTAATTTATATTTAGCTCACACAGGTATTTGGGTATACTAATGCTATCCAGTGATATCTCATACACTTGAGTTTTGGGATTCGCAAAGCCAATTAGCCAATTCGCAGAGGCAATTTTTTCACAGATACGCAGCTTACGCGGTCTCCTCGAAAGACCTTACAGAACAGTTTATGTTTCACATTTATAACGCATACAAGAAACACTCGCCAATCCTCCTGATCCAAGTAGGGTTCTGAAAACCAACCGCGAAAGTTTGCGGTATTGCTGTTGCGATCACGTGACGGGATATGATACTTGTTAAATCATTTATAATTTTCAAACTACTGTCTAGATAATCATCAGCCCCATTCAGCAGCAGCTTAGCAACGTAGCAACTGGTCAAAATGATTATTTCTTGCAAAATGCCGTTATTATTAGAAAGGCCTAAATGTACATACATATATATACATGTCAGCTTCAAAATACATCAGTCAGCCAGGGTTCTTGACTGGTCTGTTGGATTAATCGTATCGTATAACGGGAATTCGGTATCCTGCCTGTCCATTCGAACACCGAGCTCCAGCCGGTAAAATTCGAGGTTTGTCTGGTTTCCAATACGGAGGAGATCAGGATGAGTTTAAAATACTGCTCCAAATTTTGGAAGAGGAAACGATTATCAAGAGTTCATCTATCAAGATCTACTGATGCGAACTACCGACCTCCGAGAACCTCACACTGCTTAAAACATTAGTATAGTTGCTGGGTGCCGCAGTCAACCACCGTAAGGCATGATCGTTTTGGTATAAAACAGTATTATTCTAAACTCACTCAAGGAAAAGTCGCCTAATGTAGATTATATTTTATTTATGAAAGACTGCAGTCATCCGTGAGCATAATTGTCTTATATGGACTACAAATAATTGTGTGTGCCTAATTATCAAATATAAGTACAAGCAAACTGGTGTTAGATGAAGTATATATATATATATATATATATATATATATATATATATATATATATGACCTTCTAATGGTGACAATGGACTTTGTATTTGGATATAATCCCCATCCTTGGATGGGCTTGCCATACGGGTGGCAGTTCAAGAAATCTGGAGTCCACTTTAGGTATTGAAGCACTTAAGTAAATAAATTCTTACAGGCGCTGCTTATACTTTCGGGAACACGATTTGATAGAAACGAATTCCGTGTAGATAACGGGGACAACCATAGTCGGTGCTTAGCACGTAGTTTCTAATGCATCCTCATAAATAATCGATAGAAACAGACATTTGTAAATAAGCCAAATGTAAAACCTAAACTACCTTTCTCTAGTGTGCGATTAGTCTGTACTACATACTCGGTTTATCCGTTCCATTGTGTGTAATGCAGAAATGTCACTTTTTGTGTTCTCAATAGCATTGTGGGAAACGAAACAGTTCGAAAGCTTCAATTGGGTTTTCCAGTAGATGTCTCTGTTTAATCACACTCTTCTCATTGGATTAGGCGTAACAATTTCAGGTAACCAATTCAAAGCAGAACAACTAAAGACGGTAGTAATAAGTAGCTTTATCCGAACTGATTGACAATCAGTGTTTTAGTTAAAATCATTCAGTCCGAAGTGAATGAGCGAAAGACAGACAGCCAACACGGAATCTGTCACAAATGCATAGGATCACACAAAACCAGTCAGCACAATGATGAACGTTTTGTCCTGACTGAACGGATTTATTTCAATGATTTACACCTACCCACCTATCGAAACAAATAAACTGACCGTAGTACCATGCTACCTCTCACTGGCTCATATACTTCATTTCATCGTTATTCAACGAATGCTGACGTCATATTAGTAATCGCTGTTATCATCATACTCCTCACTTAAATGAATATTGGCACACTTCTGTCCAGCACTACCAAAAACGCGTTCTTTTCAATTTTTACGCATCACTAAAGAATGACAGACAATATTCACGGAATGCTAGAAATATATGGCATGAAATTTATTAACTTGAAAATTTTCAAATTTTGTAACTGAGGATTACAATTTCGGGGGTCTACGGATTACTGATGCACTTGCATCCCTCTCATTGTGAGTGCACAATTTACCAACAAAACTTTCAGATCAGCAATGGACTACCGATAGAAACTTTCTACAACCGCCTCAAAATTGTGAAAAGGAGTTTGATTTAGCTGCGTTTGAATGTCTGCCAATTTGACACTATTTGACAGGTTCTCGATGACTCGATGGGGGATGGGCTGCCATACGTGGTCAGATCGCGAAACTCAACGGACCCACGGTCTGTTCGAATAGACCGAGGGACTGAGTTCGTGAGCTGGTCCGAGAACTGCTGTTTAACAAAGCCGACGGTGGTACTCTGAAGATGGAAGAAGCACCCTTGTTTCACAGCTGCTTCTCGTTGTGTTCGCAGTTTTCCTGAGTTAAGATTGACCGGACGAATTACTCAGATCTGTCACATCCACCTACTGATTAACTAATACGTTGTAGTGTAGACCTCACAACAGGCGACGATCACGACCGGAGGACGAGAATAAATAGCTACGAATTCCCGCACATCATAGCAAGGTCAATCTCTGACTTGTTTCACCTCTCTGTTGTTTGATGCTCGAGTACGATGATATTAATTCGTAACAAGGGTGGAACTCGAGTCCGGTGCTTCGGAGTACAGAGTTTCATCGAATGAGCTGAGGTTTGTGCGTGAAAGGTAGAGCCCAAAAGAGCATCTGTCCAGAATAGTGTTTTGTTTCAGTTTGATACCTTATCTATGCTGGTTTTTAAAAATGACGTAAATAACAGTATCATTGCAAACAAAAAATACTAATTTAATCGAGATAAAGAATAATTTTGATTATTCTTATAGCGGTGTATTTGAGTTGGTTATGCTTTCACTGTGAACAACATTTATCGACATTATATGTCACTGGTACCTTTTCATGTTGGTGATTCCTTACAAAAGGCAGTTTGTTTAAACAAATATTCCATCACACGTTATCATTTCACGTCAGTTCATTGGAAACCTAAGAAGTCACTATTGTACGGGTATTCAGTATGATTTTCAGGGAATCGCGAGCAGTGCACAGAAGCCGAATTCATCAGGGGCTTAAAACTGGGCTTGCAACCGAATGCGACCCACCGACCTTGAAGTAACCCAGATTGGAAGCCGACAGGTTTCTTCATATCAGAGTTGCTTTATGCAGCATTCGTGAGTTTTTAATTTTGGAATTGTATACAGTTGGCACCTTTCGGATGGTCCGCTTTACGGCCTATGTTTCAGAATGACGTTCCGACACGCCCCGGGTTCCACTGCCACTTCTTACTCGATGGATATGCATTGTAGCTGATGAATACGACTACCATTGCGGTGGGTTTTGTGTAGTGAGTTGAGCTCGTGGCCTGTTTAGGACAGCAATCCGCCAAGCATTACAAATCCTCTGCTGCTGGCATATAATAAATCCCTTAGTACTACAGTGATCCGCAAGTTGAGAGTCTATGACCTTAGTGAGACACAAGTCTATCTTTAATAAATAGCGCACCCGTTCAGTTATATTATGAGGTAACACAGAGGTCTTTAGGAAATCCCACAAAAGCATCACATTGTTTGTGCCTTCACATAAAAACGGGGCCCGACACCTACCAACATGTAAGAGCTTACTTCTACATACAAACCCGGAATCTACGGATATGGCAGATTAGGGCGACGGAGTTATCCTCATCGTTTCATATAACTCCATTGAACAAACATTACGTATTTTTGCTTACCTGGTGTATCAAACTCGGGCATCACACGAATACCTCGTTGTCGTGCATAATGCAATACTTCTCGTATCATGGCATGCGAATAAACATTTATATTCGAATCGTAGGCACCTTGATAGAAGTGTATTAGTAAGAAAAATGCAAACGTTGCATACACAGCGAAACAAATTCGACCACGTGATGGATTGAAAAGAAAATGACTCATCATCAACGATATGCCAATGAAGTACGTTCATTTTTACCATTGCCATGGCGTCCTATAAATAGGAAAGGGGTCATTTTAATGTGAACAGAACTGTTTCTTTTGAGTCTTAGACGCGTCTACCTACCAAGAAGTTCCGTATACTCTCCAAAGATAAAAAGTGTCGTGCCGTATCGATTAGGAATCCACGGTGGGTAAATCTTGGGGCATCGTAAATAGTTTGCACTTCGATTATTAGCTGGAAATAACTTCGTGAAAATCGACCTAACTTCACTTTACTTGGTTGTCCTCCGTTCGACGCACTAGCTGCGCAACTGTTTCCAACGCATGCAGTGCACCCCAAACTTGAAAAGCTTGAATATCAATCCGTTTTTGTGAGACTATTAGAGTGTCTGCAAACGTGACATTAATTTCACTCTCTGTTTATAATCACTCAGCACTTACATTGCTCGTGCATTGCTTCTGTAGGCCATTGTACCTCCGCGGTTTCGTTGCACATTGTCAGTAACGCAATCGATACAGTTTGGATGGCAGCCTTCGAGCAAACTGTAAACTGCCGGCGAATTGGAAGTTGCCTCAGTCGTAATCGATCCGTGAGACGATGCTGAGCATCCAAAAGCACGAAACATTCTTGATAAGGATGTTGAAATTTCAGTGCACTAACTAACGAGTGCCATTCGTCATTGCGAATATGCTGATTTGGTCTGGGTACCAGGCCGAACGTCACACTACATACACATGTGATGGACAAAATAAAGCGTGAGACTATCATATGGGCAGTAAGATCTAATACATGTATACACACGAACTAGAACAACCGAATGTCACTAGTTCGAAAAATTGTATGATTTATATTTTACTGTGAATGACCTCAACTAAATTTGATCCAACCTGTAAGCTTGTGGGTGATGAATCGATGTCCGTGGAAGTGTGTGCGTGTTTGTTGATAACTGCGTGTCTGTTTGCTAGTGAAAGCTGTGTTACCGGTGCTACGAATGTCTGTCTAGATCACAGTCGGAACTGTGCGGTAGCGTAGATGAGTGCTTCACTCTGTTTCTCTATCTATGTCAAAGCGCGCGTGTGTGTTTTGGGTGTTGATTATTTGTTTACGATCTATTCATGGATTTGACCCACGACAATGTATCTGCCTTTCTCGTTTGCGTTCCTTTCATCATTGTTCCTAATGAAGAGAGCCAAGGACGTCCTTTATTAATACCTAACTGTTAAACTTGTATCTAATACGTTCCACAAAATGGAAAACGAACCTATACTAGTGCACTTGTGTGAAGACGTTTAGTCGAGGTCAGCTTCCAAAAGAGATGGTGGACCAAGGAACCTATGTGAGACAAATGGTTAAGTCACCGATTGGCCCAAGTTCCATCTGGAAAAACGCGTGCCTGACGGAAATAAGTTTCACTAGTTCGTGTATACGATGGTGGATGAATCGATGGATCACCAGAGAATTTATGCAGTCATTTACTTTCAAGCTGGACTACTGTATGTGGCCTTCGTTACTAGGTAGTGCCTAACTTTGTGAATTTCGAATAGAAACTGTACCGCTAAAAAGCAGAGCTTAAATTAAGTCTTACGAAAGACAAAACTAATCATGTACACATTTTATCCGCAGGCAATATCATATTCTGTAGTCCATCATGAACATCAGAGGCTAGCATTGAAATGAGACCCGCCAATTGTACATACTGAAAAGTCCCAAATCTCGGGCCACGATCGACAGTATCGGACAGGGGTGAACCGATAAAAGCATTAATTCTATAAACCTGTCTACAACAAATTCAAAAATAATTAAAAGTATCGCGTATCACGTGGTTCTCAAGATGGCTGAATTACAGACCAATCAAGATCTCTTTGTGTCAGGTGGAGTTGGTTTCTTGTTTTCAAAGGTATTTAGTCTGTATAATTTTGTCGTTATGATATCGCATAGATCGATGGTTGAATGATTCAAATGACTCAGCAATCACTTGCAATGTTTTACTTGGCGGAAATAATTTATACATTTGTACTATTTTAGTTGGACATTCAAAATCTTCAACCTATCGCGTAGAATCTTTTCTGAATGTTTAAACTCATTTTGTGGTTCATTTTCACATGTTTTTCTTCAATTTGCGGTGACTTTACTGCTACTCAGGTACTCAAAAATGGAAAGATTTTTTACGTATTGGACACCAGGGTGTGCTTACGAATACGAATGAAATTCAAATAATAGATGCAGATTACTTTCGTAATGCTTTATTCCATTGATCATTTCACGGCATACAAACAACAATCGAGAGAAAGGAAAAACCCGTGCCAACTCCTCGGCTGCCAGTCTACACAACAAACTACGCTTTTACATCAATGGCCAACTTGCAAAATAGCATCGGCCACAGTTGCAATGGTCAAGACATTTAGTGAACTATGAAAGTGTAAAGATAAAAATGAAAAATTGGAAATTTTTTCATTGCAAGGTCACTCGAAGATGAGGTCATGATCGTGTTCCAGTTTGATTCTTGTGGTAAATCTGTGGACAGCAAACCGACTGACTAATTTGTCCCTTCATTCAACCATGTTTGCAGCGAACGATCCGCACCATCTTTTTGTCTCCAGTAATCTCCTTGGGTGCTGGTGCATCATGAAACTCACAACCCATTTTCTGTTCTCATCAGGCATACTATTTTGATTTTTTATAAAAGTGCTGATATTATGAGACACCACCGTGGCTGCAGTCACCAATAAACAACTATTCTCTAACAAATCACTAAATTCACATTCCGTTCATTTCCGCCACCGCTTTCGTTGTATTTCTGGTTCTACTACTTAGTTATTTGCTTCGAGCTAATATTGCTCCGGGATTAACCAGCGGTGGGCTACTGTTTTGCAGATCGAACACCATCGGTCTGATTGTTATGAGAGACTTAATTGGCTAACAATTGTTACTCGCTGAAGGCACACAAATCATGCATCGTAAAAACACTGTTCTTTTGTCTAGACTAAACAAAGCTCCACACGGACTAGTTACACTACGATCACTGAGTGAATATCTCGAATAACAGAAAAACCTGACGTGTTTTTCCTCGACGATAAACAATGTACATTGTAGAATCCACTTTGATTTCTATAAATAAAACTGCGGTCCCCATTATCCTTCATTCATTGTGCAATGCCTTTGTGGAGAACCAGTTTCATTGTAATTTCAGTATTCAACCACAACGGACTATTCCCTAGGGCTTGGGACACTTCAGTGGGTAGTTTCAGCTGGGCATTCCACAGTTTGTCAATAGCCTTTAATTGCCTTGATTTTTTTCCAGCAGAGTGAGGAGAATAATTTATGCATAAAATATTGTGAGCTTCAGTTTTGCGGGATCTTAACCAGCTGTCGATGTGTTCGCGATCATTTGGTTCATATTGAATTCGAAATTCAGGAAAATTCAAGAGTGGCGGTTACAAATTATTCTGAAAAATCACAAATATGTGCAAAATTGGTGAGCTGTGTAATATTTTGTAAAGAACTTGTAGGTTGTGTCAGCCATAGAACCGGGGAGAAGATGGTAGAAAATCTGACAGTCACCATGGCTTGATTTCAGAAACAGTACCCTAGCGAACACAGGTCTGCTTTCTCAGTACTTTTCCTCAGGCCAACGCAGTACACCTAAAAAGTTTTGGTCATCAATCGCGTTCAAAACTAAACCAAATTTACGACTGAAACTCGTAGGAAAGCCGCCTGATAATTCTACCTCATCCTGTGCGTATCCCTACTCTTGCATCTGTGGAGCAAAGTACATCGAAAGAAGAGTCAGATGCCCGTCCACTAGAGTTCAAGAAAGCTTCCCTACATGCTTAGTCGGAAGAGTCAGTAAGACGATAACCAGCGCAATACTGATGCATGCAATCGCGACGGGCCTTAAGGCAAGACGGGATGGGCCATTTCACGTAATCCACGGTTTGGTAGTAAACCGTTCTAAAGGAGTTATACAACGAATCCTCCAGACGACCAAGGCGATCGTAATCAGGTTACATAGACCAATCCTATGCTTGTAAAAACAATTGAGGAAGACATTACAGCTCCCGTAACCGAAGTTCAACGTGACGGTGTGGTAAATGTGCCTACTCAAATGCAACGGAAACAGATCGAGTATTCAGTTTTGTGGTTTTATCGTAGTATTCTGGATTATATTTTCGAGCACCCGTTGAACTTTGCATGTGTACTGTAGTGGCTTGAGGAGAAGCTTTGAAAGGACAAGTCCTTATTTACCGCATTACGTTTTTAAAATTCTGACTAAACGAATATTTCACGAGGTGCGGTAGTACTAAATGTTGTTGTGTATCAACACATTAATTTGTTCGGCGTTAGTGCGTGATTAAAGTTTCGCTAATGCTACGAACTCTAATCTCGGGATCACACAACGACATGTAGCCTTCGGACGTGAACAACGTGAATGAAAGTGTGCAGCAGGATATGTGTGATGAAATTCCCGGTCAACTTGGTTTAATGTACCCCAATCTACGTAGAATTCTCAGTGAACCGCAGGGGTGTTTCCTCAGTGGACTTTTTAAAGAGAATCATAGAAACATCAAGTATTCTTCTATCTCTATGCGCTTTTAGTAAATAGAGCTCTTAATGTACAGTTTCTTTTGGCAAGTTCAATGCATAAATGCCACTGTAAATCCATTGTCGGAATGAGATGGTCTTGGTTTCTGTTAGGTCTTGGTCAGTAGTTTCGATGTCCTCGGCGTATGTGGGAATGTAATCTCTGTCTTTTTCGATCTATGCATCAATGAAAAAGGTCGACACATCTAAGGATGAAATAAATTTATGTTTGCACACAGAAAAACTATAAAACTAATAGATAGAATCGGTGAGGCTTGGGCGAGGATGGGATCAAGGCATGGAAATCTGCTTTAGAACTCCTCCAAATGGAGAAATGAAACCCAATACAGTGCACATTTACATCTCCGGTAGGTTTTACAGTTTTCGAAAGTTTTAAAATCATCGAATAAATTAGTTATGACTTATGTTGACAAATGACTGGCCACCGTACTAGAAGAAAACGTGCCCCCTCAAGAACCAGTCATTTTCGGTGTCTGTGGATTTACTCTCTCAGTAAACAAAGGCTTTAACTATTTTAAGTAATTCGAACAACAGTAAAGCCGGTATTCAACTGAATATGGCACAAATTTTGGTCTAGTTGAAATCGGTAACACTTATTCAGCGTACCTCCTTCAAACTGATGCTGGGGAAGGTGCTTCTGATGGCGCTAATGAATTGGCGGCCACCTCTAGTGAGCGGTTTGTCACCTTTGAACACTATATAAGCAAAAGTGTCCCCCTCTTTACTAGCACTTATTATATTGTACTTGTTATTGCTGATATCTCGTTGCTGTCCCTTACAGCATTCTGCAAATGGTGCAATCCGCTCAGCACACCGATATCGTCGGCCTTTACAGTGAGTCATGAAACAGAGATTTTGATAGTGGAATCTTTACGTCACGAAACTTCACGTGCAGTATCTCGCTTGTGTACTTTATTCACAATCTTCTAAACCGAGAAATGTGATAACGAGACGGGTGACAAAAAAAGGCGCGGAGGTTATTGCAAAAGCCAATTTTTGTTGTCATCTCGTGTTGATCTGTCCAGCCCTTCATATTTTTCTCTTTTCCGAGACAGTCTGCAACTCCCTTACCGTCAAATCGCTTAATCCGCAAGTGTGAAGTGTCTAAAAACGTTTAGCTTTCAAGAGTCTCGCGCTAGTCAAGTAAGAAGTATTTATAACTGGAT